TAGAAAAAATAGTGTATGATATTCGTGCTAAAAGTGATTTTATTTTGTTCAAAGGGATGGAACACTCCGCCTTCGGCGTCGTGTCCCAAACGTCCCTTTTCACAAAATAAAATGTCACTTTTAGCACTTATATCATAAATAACTATTTAATATATGACGTTATCTCATTTTGTAATTCAGATGTTTGTATAAAAGCCGCAGCCAGCGGTGGAGAATTTTTATGTATCCAGTATTTTGATGTTAGGTTATCGGTTGACAATGTATAGATTTTGTTAAGAAGAAAATTATTGGTGATGTATATATTTTTAACTAAAAACTTTTGGGCTAAGTAACTACGTCTTAATTGTAGAGGCTTTTCCCCAGTTTCAGCTAGTAAGGCTTGTACTGGAGTAGAACAGAATGCACCAGTGACAATACGTAAAGCTTTATATTGTAAGCGGTCAATTTTATTTAGCCGTGTTTTAGTCGCACTACCATAAAATACTGAGGAAAAATCAATCAAGGATCTTGTGTAAGCTCTGTAGAACATAAGTGCAGTTTTAGGGTCAGAACCCCAATGTCTTTTGGTGGTTGCTTTTAATAAATTCAAACTTTTCCCAGCCTTTTCAATAATACTGTTAATTTGTTTTTCCCAAGTTAATTTTTGATCCAACCAGACACCCAGGTAGCGGGAACATCTCCTCCAAGGAAAATTATATGGGCCCAGAGATATATTGTCCTGATACAACAGGTTATGTCTCGTAAAAACAGTAATTTCAGATTTCGAAGTTGAGATATCCAGGCCGTTGTTGAAGAAATAAGTGTTAATATATTTCCATTTAATATCTGAAGGCAATTGTTTAATTTTTTCTGGGATGTATAGATGCAAAAGTCATCTGCATATTGTATAATAGTTACTTCATGAGTGATATTATAAATATCTGAGGTATAAATATTAAAAAGAAAAGGACTGAGAACTGATCCCTGTGGCAAACCCTGGCTTGTTATCCTGGGTACATGAAGTTTGTTAATCAGTCGGATGTAAATATTTCTTTCAACAAAAGTTTTAACAATATTAATACAGAAGAACCTCGGTATATCTAATACATTAACCATTTTATCTACTAGTAAGGTTAAATTGACGTTATCGTATGCACTGGATATATCCAGGAATAAAGCAGTTAAATAATGATTTTTTGAAAAACAATTCTGTATATCAACTGTTAGATGAGCAATGCAATCCATAACACCTTTACCTCGTTTAAAGCCAAACTGTGTCTTAGGTAATTTGTTTATGTATTCCACCCACCATTCCAAACGACTTTTAATAATACGTTCCATAGTCTTAAGAATACATGACATTAGCGAAATAGGTCTGAATTCATTTATTTTATTTGGTTTATTAATGGGGATTACAATAATATTCTTTAATATTTGGCACTGCATAAAAGTTGTTTGGCATTTTCGGGTAAAAATTGGATCATGGAATATGTAATACCATCTAATCCCGGAGCAGTGTCGCTCGATTTTTTAATGTTAATATTTAATTCATTTATTGTAATTAATGTACATAGGGGATGTTGATTGTTATAAACCAAGATTGGGTCAAATGGTAAATTGACTGAGTCTGGAGCAATTTTATCTAATAGTTGTTGGGCAAGATCTTCAGAGATTGCATTGGTTGGGTTATTAATTTAATAGTCCTTTCGACACAGCATTAATTCTTTTCCATATTTGAGATGGGCTAGTTTGGGAATTGAGACTTGAGCAAAATTTTTTCCAGCTTTCTTTTGCTTTTTGATTAAACATTATTTTGGATTTAGCGGAAATATTTTTATATGATAAGAAATTTTGCAAACTGTGTCGTTTTTTATAATTTTTCAGAGCTTGGGACCGTTCCATAGCTATTTTGGAACAATCGTTATCCCACCAAGAGGGAGTATATCTTTTAGTATATTCAGTATTAATTTTACTAAAACATATATTAGCCGTTTGAGTAATAATATCGATAATTTCAGAAAGGATTGTATTGGCACTAGGCGAAATTTCTATTTTATATACTTTTTCTTCAATAAGTTTTCTATACAATTCCCAATTTGGGTCTTTCAAAGACCATCTATTAATTTTAGTGTTCAAGAATGCCTGATCATTTTTGTTAAATTCTAAAACTACAGGTAAATGGTCGGAACCATATGAGTCTTCTAATACTGTCCAGCTGGAACCATTTGATAAATTTGATGATATAATTGTGATATCTAATGCAGAAGAGTAATAATAAGAGATTCTAGTCGGGTTACCTTCATTTCTGACTATAAGGTGAGGCATAAAATCAATAGCCTTCATTAAAACATCACCTGTCGTGATTGATTTGGGATGAACCCCAAATTGTGTGATGACTATTAAAGTCACCGCCTATGACGCATGTTTTAGATAACTTATTGAATATTTGTATATAATTGTTCACCGAAACGTTAATATTAGGGGGACGATACATAGACGCTATAGAAATTATATCACCATTTATTTTAAGATTAATGGCACATATTTCAATATTATTATTGTTAATGGAATTTAAGTTTATAATATCATAGGAAAAGGTACTTTTGACAAAAATAGCAACGCCACCTTTACCATCTCTTCTATCTTTACGAACTAAGTTGTAACCAGGAAATCTAATGTTATAAGTAGGTTTATACCATGTTTCAGAAATAAGAGCTATATCAAATTGTGTATTAGTGCATACAGTTTTAAGAAGGTTGTGATTAGCGAATGCCGACCTGGCATTCCAATGAACTATTTTAATTTTGTGACTGAATATTACCATAATTTTTAAAGACATTCTTAACAATATCTGTAATCATAATCTGCAAGTTAGTCTCAGATAAAGAATTGCGCACATAGCTGTGTTCGTTTGTTGATTGAAAAGTAGATGCAATGTTATTAAATAAATCTTGAGTTATTCTGTTTTTGATATCTTCAAATGAGGGATTATTTGACATCATGGGTGATCCCGTATAAGACCAATCATAATCTCTTTTAGGAGGAATATAACTGGGGCTAGGATTATCTGCTTTTCGCTTTTTAGTTGGATTGCCGATTTCTGATTTTTTTTGAGAAAAAGTTATGCTCTTAAAAGGTTTAGCAATAACTCTATTTGTTCTAGGCAATTCAGGAAAATCAATATTACTCGTTAAGAGAGGGGCATATTTATTTTTATCAACTAAGCTAGCATATGAGGGATTGTTAACTACCTACTTTTTCAGCTTCTTTAAATGATAGATTTAAGTGTGCCATACATTGTTTAGTGCGTTTTTGTTTATCGAACATAGGACAACTTTTATCAGTGCTACCGTGTGATGAGGAATCACAATGTACACAACGTTTAGAGCATTCATTGCATGGAGTATCATTCTCCTTCATAATAATGCCACAATTTTTACATCTTTTATTGCTTTTACATTGGGTCGAAGTATGCCCATATCTTAGACATTTGAAACATTGAATCACTGGTGAATAGTAGGTATCTACAAAACATCTCAATTTTCCGAAAAATACATATTGGGGCAATTCTATCTTAGCAAAAGTAACTTTTATTAACTGTCTCGGCACCCTTATGAATTCTCCCTCTTGAGTTTTGCTTGAAGTTTTACGATAAAGCCTTTGAATTTTATAAACTTTAATTGGAGAATTAATTAAATTCATTAATTGTTCAGTGTAACTAGTATCAATACCCCGAATAATACCTACTTTTTGTGTTAAATTTAAAGGAATATAAGCAACTAAATCATGTTTGCGAAAAAAATCACTTTCAACGATCCGATTTGCAGTGGCGGCATCGTTTATTTCGAGTTTAATTAAATTTTTTCCTACTGGATACAGTTCTAGAATATGTTGTTCGTCATCGCCCAACTCTTTAAGAATTTCATTAAGTTTCATAGGATGTATTCGACCTACATTTAAATATTTATGTTCTATAAAAACATAGTATGGACCTGGATTATCAAGATAAAAACGGTTCGAAATGTTTATTTTGTTAATTCTATCGGATAATATTTTTTCACTTGTGTTAATATTATTTTGAGAAATATTTGAAACCATTTGATCATCATCCATGATATTGATAATATTGATAGGCGGCCCCCGGCCCCTAGGTATATCCCCATCGATGTCCGACATTATGTCAGATCATCGAAGGGCTGCAATTCAAAGGCTAAATTATATATTATACCCCTACTTAGATTTAAAATAAAATGGAATGTATTCACCAAATGCAAATGATTCTCGTCAAAAAACCACTGATAAGCAAGCTACAAAAAACCAGACAGACCGATCAATGCACACGCTACGGTGTTTCAAACCGAACTATTATAAAAGTTTATCATATTTTAATCAAGGCTTTATTTGAATCAAACTATTTTTTTTTATACAATTATTATGGTTGTTAATTTTTTTTTTTTTTTTTTTTTAATTTTTTTTTATTTTTTTTTTTTTCCCTGTAATAAGCGTTAAGTTTGTTTTGTTTGTATAGACCTAATATTTTACTTATGCGGACTAGCTAGAGCCATACGGATGGGTAATAAGGGTTAGTTTGGGAAACATTCACGCAGTTCAAAATTACCAAATTTTGTGTTTCAAAAACTAAAAATTCTGCAATTTTTGTAGAAAAGAAACAGACTGGGAAAATCCATGAAAATATTATCATCCAGATATCTGACACAATTCTATTAGGAGACCGATTGTACAGTTTTTGAATAATCATACAGTTTTGTATATTTTCGTATGGTTCACCATTCTTAAGTCGATTGAGTGTACGCCACTGGTATTTTCCTGTTTGTGACTACCCCCTCAACCTTTCCATGTTTAGTATGAATTCAATCCTATGTACCTACACCGATATTCATCCTTCTCAGACAAGAAAATTTGGCTTTTCCAAAAAATCCAAAAAGAATAAAATCGAGGCTTTTGTAATGAAAAAACTAGAAAACTTGAAAGATTCTTTACCATCCAAAAGTTTGCCAGCCGAAAAAATCCATAAAAACTGTTGCCACCATCATCCAGAGGGCGCGACACAATCTCATGTAATGATATAAATAGATTTTCATCCCCCTAGATTGGAAAAGTAGGCCTTTCCACGTAAAATCGATATAGAAATCTCTTTCCTCAAATTTATGCTAAACTAAATAGAGAAATGACTAGTTAATCTATTAGGGGAAAAACTCGCCCTTGCTCGAGTATTGAGACAAATTAGGCATCAAACAAAAGTGAGTTTTGGTTAATAATTCTAATAAATATTAATAATGACAATTGTAGATGTTGGAAGGAACAGTTGCAAGAATCCTAAACCAACTATTAGGAAAATACGTCCAGGATTTGGATACGGAAAACCTAAATGTAGGAATATTTTCTGGAACAGTGCAACTTAGTGACCTTAAACTTAAACCAGAAGCCTTGGTAAGAATCTATTAAAACTTGAATTATTTATTCAAAGAAAATTTTAGTATGAATTAAACTTGCCAATCGAAGTGAGAGCAGGTACCGTTGGTAAAATCTGGCTCCAAATACCATGGACTGCCCTTTGGAACCAACCCATAATAGTTAACATTGAAGATGTTCACTTAGTGGTGAATCCTGTGGTGAGAAACGAACCGTTTGATGCTGAAAAGAACAAAAGGCTTTTGAGGGCCTTCAAAAAACGCACCTTAGAACTTTTAGAATACGAAGGAGGTATCTTAGGAGGCCCTGCAGCTTTTGCAGAACACTTAATAACAAACATATTGAATTACTTACAAATAAACATCACTAATGTCCATGTAAGATACGAAGACGAATATAGTTGGTCTAATCCGATTTCGGCTGGATTGTGTATCGGTTCAATACAAGCCCAAAGCACCAATAGCAAATGGAAACTAGCAAATTACGAGCCAAATGCGCAATTTGGTTATTATTTGGTAAAAATTGAAGCTTTATCTGTTTACTGGAACACCAATGTGAAACCGAAAAATTGGGATTTGCCTGCACAATATTATCAGTGGCGTAATAGTATGGTGAATAGTTTGAAAAATTATAGTTTTGATGAAGAGAATTTCAAATTTAGTAAGTCAACTTTACTTACTTATATGAAAGATTTTGAATAATTTATTGGCATTCTAGCTCTTAATCCTATGATGTCAAAAATAAAAATGACCATTAAAAAATCAAATGATGGACATGTAGCTGAATTAATTACAGATATTGTAGTGCAAGATTGTAATGTTCAAATGTCCAAAGTGCAATATGATTCGATTATGGCTGTAATGGACAATATGGACAGGACATTGATAAGCTGGCAATTTTTAAGCAAAAGACCTCAAGAGAAAATTTTAGACAATCAAGTAGTTTGGTGGAAGTGAGAGTGAGTTTTTTTTGTTGATGGCCGTTTGCTTGTTACACGGTTTTCAGGTACGCTTATTGGGCTGTTTTGGAACAAAGAATTAAACCTTTTACGTGGAGCAGAATTAAAACTGCAAGGGCACAATATAGGCAATACATTGAGACTTATAAGCAAATTATTACCAATCCCAATGATACTGAATTAAAAATGGATTTGCAAAAACACGAAGACAATTTGTCGCTTGTGAATGTTGTGATTGCTAGACAACATACCAGATTATTGGTAAGAAAGTTTCCATTGTTAAAAGTCTTATGAATTTTGTATATTTTTAGATGCAATCCAAAAGCCAAAGCGAGAAAAGTTTCTGGTCGATGCTTCCTTCACCAGAAAAAATAGTCTTGTGCCAGAAAATTGGATACTACGACAAAGAAGAAAACACAAGAATAATTGGTAATCAAACTTCTCATTGTCTTTTAATCAAAATTAATTAATTATTAATTATTCCAGATCACACCTATAATTTTAAGTTAGGCAACTTCAATTTAACTCTAACAAATAACTCGAAAGAAGTTCTAGTGGCAACTTTAACCCAAACTATAATGTCCGTGAATCCAAATTTTGTTCAAGACACCTATAAAATGTCTTTGAAAATTGAAGGCATTATAATAGAGGGTAATGGGCCGAATAATGCTTTAACGCCCATATTGTCATCTGAACATTTACAAGACAGCCCTGCCTTCTTTTTTATGATGAATTTGGAAAAATTGCACAATAATTTGCATCGACTACTTGTTAATTTAGGTTCAGTGGAGTGTATCTACAACAAAGTAAGATTTAAGTTGAGTTATAGAGTGTGTGTTTAAAATTGTGGCTGTTTCAGCAATGTTTTCAAGAACTAGAAGCCTTTTTACAAGCAAAAAGCAATATCCAACGCAGAAATTTACTGAATTCCTTTAAAAAACTACCAAATTTTATACACAAAAAAGTCGCAAAAATGATTTGTGACAAATGGGAATTGAATTTAAACATAAAATGTCCATATATTGTAATACCTGAGTCAAGTTCTTGCATTGTGTAAGTATAAATATTTTGTATTTTCCTTGTGAAGATTTGTTCATTTTTTAGAAACGAAGAAAACGTTTTGATCTTGGATTTCGGTAAATATTGGATTAGAACCGAAATATGTCAGCAAACTCAAATATCAGAAAACGCTACAAAAATGGAAACCGAAGAGCAAGTCTATTCTAAGCTACATATAGGTTAAAAATTACTTATTCAAATCCTTTCTGGTTATTAGATTGTTTGTTTTATAGATTGTACAAACTTACAAGTATTGTTTTGCGACAAAAAAGACCACTGGAAAGAAGCTAGAAACGAAAAAGACACTGACATGCACATTATACCTAAAACTGCTTTTAATGCTGTTTATGCTTTATCAATTGTAAATTTAAATACTATACCGAGGTTGAAATTCAACATTTCTTGTAACTATTTCAAACTAAACATTTCCGAAAAAAAGATTGGATCAATATTGAAATTCTTCAACGTCGACCAAATAAGAATCAACGTCATAACTGAAGCGATGCAACCGGACTTGTACAAAAAGGACACGATAAAAGAAAAACTAAAATACAAAACGTTGAAATCGATGCAGGACAAAATCAGTATATCTGATACCTACAAATACAGGAAGCATAAAGTGATAAATGGACACAATAGCAGGGAACTTGGCAAGAAGTAAAAACAAGAAAAATAAATAATACTATATGTATAATGATTAAATATATATTTTTTTTTTTACAGTAAAAGTATTGATGTAAACGATCTTAAAAATAATATGAACGAAGCTTGGGCCAGGACAGTAGATTTGCCCGGATTAGAAGACAACATTTCACCTAGTAATAACATTAATGTTTTATATGGGTTTGTTGTCAATGAGGTGAGACTTTTACAAATTAAATCCTGCTAAAATTCAAAAAACAAATTTGTTTCAGTTTACAATGATTTTCTCGAAATCCAACGATTGCACCGATCGTCAATACCTAATGCTACGTCTTGGTCAATTTTCCATGGACTTAGCATTTATGACTTTCGGTCCAGCTTATCAAATATCAATACACAGCTTATTATTAACTGATAAATTGCATACAACATCTAGCGGACAATATTTGGATTTGATTTTTACACCCTTGCCAAATAATCTGGATGTCGTTACTGTGCTTTATAGAAAAGTAAGTTAATATTGGGAATTTACTAGGGCCGTCACAGACAATTTTCGCCGTCCTACGCCCATTTAAAGTACAAAATTAAGAGTGTTGGGATGAAATATAATTTTTATATTTATGAGTAGTGTGGATTGTGGTAAAGACGAAAGAAGGACCACACAAAAGAGAGACAAGCATCTGTAGGGACGTCACAAGGGTATCGGGTATCGGCGCTTGACAATAATAGTTTATAATCCTTGATTTATGTCAATCGTTAGTAGAGTGTTTTCACAGCTATCAGACCAATACCACGTGAAAACCCCCCTCCAGCACAGCCATCATACCACTACCCTCCTCCACTGTAAATCTCCTTCCACGAAGCTCCTACCTTGCCTGAAGAGGCATTTTTTTATATCCCTCCACTTTTTGAATTTTTATTTGTCAATTTTGGGATAAATCCCCAAAATTTCAGATCAAAGGCGACGCCAATCTAGAAAATTTCCCACGGTATCGAAAAAGTTTCAACGTTTCAAGTTTCAGCTTGTTCAATTTTGTCAAACAATATTGACTTTGTGAATAAAATGTATCCTTCTTTAGTTTGTGCAAGAATATCAATTTTATCATTTTCACAACAAAGTTGTTTGGTGAATAGATGGCTATCATATCCTGTTAGATTGTGGAAAAAAAACAGGAATAAAACTGGGAAGCTTGTAGTTTAAATCACAAATATTATGTGCTACACCCCGGTATTTTCCACTTAAATGATCATGATCCCTTACTTTTTCATCTAAAGGATTGAATTTTTCCTTACAAATACTGCAAATGATACTATTTTCACATTGAAATTCTTCTTCATCTGTTAGAGGAACCATCGGTACTACATATTTTAGATAATTATTATAATTTCTATGAACATAAGCTTCAATTCATTTGCAAAATTCATCAGCAGCATCAAGACCAAAATAATAATCTAGTTCTGATAAGGAATCATCATATGAACATAAGACAAACCAAAGATTATAAGTAAGGAGGATTGCCTATCATTGTCAAGCACCGATACCTTTGTGACGTCACTACAGATACGCGACTTTCTTTTAACCCCTTCCAATCGACCGCCTGTGTGTTTTGATGGTAGCGACGGCTCTGGAATTTACACTTAATAAGTGAGTTTTTTTTTAGGTAAGCGCCAAATGTCCAGAGTTTTGGACGCACTTTCACGGCGTTGAAACTTCTCTTGTAGCCAATTTTGGTACTTTACACCTGTTATTACACCAAGAAGCCATTCATACCATAATCAAATACACAAAATATTTTACTAATAAGTAAGTCAGTATCTATTCATTTAAAACACTATCAATAAAACTTTTTTTCTTCTACAGAATTCAGAATCAAACTTCCAAATATCTGAAGGCAAGCATTAAAAACTTCATTGAAACTATTAACAGAACTCTACATAAACCTTCAGATGTGCCAGTGCCTCCTGGCTCTGTAAAATTTTCTCAATCGGCTAGAATGAGTGATTTAAATTTGGTTGTTTGCAATTCCGACTTTGATATCATCAACGTGCAACTTTCCGGTTTGGAAGTTGATTTTCTTTTCAGGGCAAACGAACGATTTGTTTTCAGGAGTTATTTGGGCAGCATCAACGTTGATCATTTGTCACAAGTTACTTTGTATTCGAAGGTAGGTTTTTGAATTCCTTTTTTAGCAACTGAATTAATTAATTTTTCAGGTTTTATACACTGAAGAAGATAAAGTTTTTGAAGTCAAATACGTCCGAAATGCGCCTAATTTAAAAAACAACGAAATAGTTGATAAGAAATACGAAGAAAACTTTGATGGCAGTTTTAAGTTTCAATTAGGACGCATTCATTTTATATTTTTATATAAATTAATGGTACAATTACAGGTAAAATTTTCATGAACTTTGAGATAATATATAATAATAATTTGCTATCTAGAGATTCATAATCAACTTGGAAATATTAGAATACTTGGAAAAATATTTGCAACTAATAAGAAAAACAATTAAAACAGCAACAGATACTTTGAAAAATAAAACAAAAATTAGTTTATCAATTAATGTTTGTGGTCCAGTTTTTCTTATACCGCAAAAATCATCATCACCAAACGTCTTGGTAATTGATACTGGTAAGAAACTTAATTAAAACAAATCGTATTAAATCAGCAAGCCAATTCTAGGAAATTTAAGAATTGAAAACTTCTTTAAAGACTCAGACATTGGAGTAGTTGAAAATATTCTAATAAAACTCAAAGAGTTTCTTGTAACAAGAGGCGTAATGAGTCTAACATCAACCTTAGAAATGCAAGAAACTTTAATTGAACCAATTTGCATAAACATGGACGTAAAGAAATTCACAAACACCAAAACATTGCAGAAAAACTGGGAAATCGACTCAGTCCTTGAAAAAATTGAAGTAACTTTGGGCCAAAAAGACTTATCGATGATTATGGCCATTTACACTGACAACATCGGCGAAGCTAAAATTGTAGATCTATTACCAGAACAAATCCGATCACCCATAAGTGAAATATTTGAACAAGACAATAACGTTAGAGAACTAGAAGCCTTTTTCTGCGAGCCAAAACAAAAATTCCTAGTAGGCAAATGTAAAATCGACGAAGTCAAAGTTGTCTTGTTTTTCGATGCCGGTGAACTCTTAAGTTCACCAATACGTGATTTAAATCACGGACTTTGTAAGTTGGAAATCAACGATATCGATACTTCTTTGGTGATTTATACTGATAAAAGTTCAGATGGGAAACTTTCAGTCGATACGATATTGGTTGAAGAAATTGGACCAGATGCCAATATTCATAGCAAAATGTATGTGTCAATATTATTTAAGAAATATATTTTTTTTTATTAATCATTTTATAGAGTTTTAAGTTCTCCAGCTGAAGATGGCAGAAACAATAATATTTGCAATATAACAGTCAACAAACCTCCAATCATAGACGTTAATTTTCATCAAAACAAAAACGATGACCAATCGGCTGACATTATAGTAGGCAGGATGTGCCTGTCATTGTCGGTACCATTTTGCGAAAAAGTAGCTTTATACGTACTGGAATGTGTACCAAAAGACTATCACGATTTGGGTATAGTGAACCAAGGATATGAAGGAGAAACTAGAAACAATTATCAAACCAAGAAATTCTCAAATAACAGCCTTACAGTTTCTGTTAGAGTAAATAAGCCTGAATTGATGTTCCTCGTTGAAACAACTTCAAACAAAAAACGATATTTTATAACAAAAAGTGAAATAATGATCGATTTTTCTAGACATTGTAACCGTTTAAATTTGGTAACATCGCTGTCTGGTTTGCACAGCTTATTTTACGATCTCAGCGAATATTCCGACCAGCCTTATGTGGTCTTGAAACAATGCGACGTGGAATTGAGCAAAAATGTCGAAGACAACAACGAAAAAATCATTTTGAACGTTTCAGGGATTTACGTGAAACTATGCTCGGAAGTGATTCACTCTGTAAATGATATTTTAAATGACATTGTTGAACATTTTAAAGTACCCGACTTGGACTTGGGAAAACGAACTCCGAGGAAGTTGAGCACAAAGGAAATTGGTACTGAGGAATTGTGGGAACCGAAGAAAATGGATTCATATGCTAATAAGGTAAGATATATATGAATATATACAAAAATTAACAAGTTTTTAATAATATATTGGCGCAGATTGAATCCTATCCAAAGTGAATTCAAGAATTGTGACATTTGTACCCAAAGACAAAGGAAATTAAGATATTTTAAAGGTTTTTTCTCTGATTTAGAATTTTTACACTATTTTACTCTTAATTAAGTCATTGAAATATGTACCATCGTCACCATAAGTAACTGGGACAGCATTACATTAGCTCTTGTCCTATTATATGAATTTTATTGTCAAATATTTGTCAAACTATGAATTAAATGCATTGAAATGAATGACAGTAGAATAAGACCAGGAGATTACTATGCATATTTGTGTCCCAGATAATTTTCGTGACGATGGTACATACCTAACTCTTTGAATCCTTTGAAAGTTTTACATCAAAAACGGGCAGATTGAGTACGTAAACTCCAGTCTCGGGTAATCAGACAAGTCCTCAAAACGCTACCTATATTCTAAATATTTGAAAATCTTCACAGTCTTTAGAATCATCACAGCCTTATATTTGGAATTTTCGAAAACTTTGGATTTTTTGAATTGGTAGTCTTTGAAGAGTTTTAATCAAAATTTAAAAACCTTGAAAATCTTCAAATTTTCTCTCAAGGTTTTGAAAATTTTTTGGGTGCCAGGCCCAAAAGCGGTCATTTCGAGCCTCAAGTATTTCGAGTTGAAAAAAAAAACTTGTTTGGAACATATTTGTTCTCTATGAGTTATTTGAATGCGGGTGAGTGGTGATTAATAATGACAAATACTATCGTAAAACTAAGTAGGGCCTGGGTACGTAAGTAAAAAATAAGGCCCAGTGGAAAATCAAGACATCCCTGTCCCTAGTCGTAATACTTACCTACATAACATACCCACCTGCACTTGGAACTCTTTGGTACTAAAAAAAGTGGTAACATTGTTAGCGGCAGTATTTACCTAGTTCTGTTGGACGGTTAGTAATTATTCTTGCAGAATTAGATGAATTGGTAACAAAAATAAACATTTTAAAAAAACAAAGCAAAAGTATTTAGGAAATATAAAAAGTGTTGCGATGCAATGATGGATGTGTAAAGAGTAAAAACATTATGCGTGAGTCTACACAGTGACTGTACACTAAACTTTCTATTTATGCTATTGGGAGATCGGAGTTTATTTTCATTTTTCAGGAGTTTTTTAAAGTTCAGCTTATTTCTTTACTAGAAGTAGTTTTATTTTGAGAAATTCGTAAAAAGTTTTACTTGAATCTTGAATGACAGAGAACCATAGGCGGCCTGCGGCCGCCCCTAGATTTATCCGCCCGCGTGCGGAGCACGCGCTGCGAACCTGCTAGGCTCTGTAAAAAACACTTTTGTAGATAATTAAATCCTCTGCCGAAAGAAATCTGACTCAAGAGAATCGGTTCAAAAATGCCGAAGCTATAAGCGAAAATGAGGCGTCGTGTCGGGTCCCCAAAGTTTGCTAGGATCCAATTTTTTCAAATTTTTTTGCGGGCTTTAGAAGCGTCGGAGCGAAAAACGCCTAGAGACATTTTCGACGTATTTTTTGCCCCTCTATCCAACGGAATTTTTTATTTTTCGAAATTTGGAAAATTAAATGCAGGACGTGTATACCCCATTACACGCCCTTTTCCAAAATTGGGGAGATGAGATGAGGGTAAAACCCTTCCGGTAGGTTAAAGAAGGCTGAAATACATCACCGCTCGAATCGTCATTTTTAGATTGCAAAGGGGGTCCGTTCTCGAGATATCGCGTTTTTTATGTTCCTCTCCCCCATCATTCGATAGAACAACTTCTTCTCTACAATCCTACAAAATTTCAACTTTCCACTCTCAGCCATTTGGGCTGTACCGGGGCCGGAAAACAAAACTTTGACAGCTCTCCTAGAGTTCCCCAGGGGAGGGGAGGGGACGAAAATTGTTTTGGCTCGACAAAATTAAAAGTTTTCATAAGCTCTGTTCCAACCGACATGAGAACCATTGCAGAACCAGTAATTTCCATTTGCACAGCGATTTTTCAATAAGTTGAACGTTTATCCTAATTGACAAATGAATTGATCGACTAGAAATTACCGTTCTAGAACGGTTCTCATGGCAGTTGGAACAGAGCTATACTAACGGTGATGGTTAGGGGGTTGTCAGAAACAGAGTGACACCAGTGGCGTACACTCGATCGACCTACGAATAGAGACTTGAATGAAAATATACAAAATTTTATAATCAGATAACAATTATTCAAAAACTGGACATGGGATTTATACTAATGGGGAAAGTTGAAAGGGATGTCAGAAATGCGATGACACCAGTGGCGTATACTCGATCGACCAACGAATGCAGATTTATACGAGAATATCCAAAATTATATAATCAGCTGACAATTATTCAAAAACTGTACTGTTTGACGGCTTATATCCCGGAGAAAGAAACAACCTGTGATATCAATAAAAAACAATTTTGTAGATAATTTTATCCTCTTTCGAAAGAAACCTGACCCAAGAGAATCGGTTCAAAAATACCCAAGCTATAAGTGAAAATGTGGCGTCGTGTCGGGTCCCCAAAATTTTCCAGGATCCAAATTTTTTTTATTTTTTTATGGGCTTAGGAAGCGTCGGAACCAAAAACGACTAGAGACATTTTCGACGTATTATTTGCTCCTCTATCTAATTGTATTTTCTATTTTCCGGAATTTGGAAAAGTTAATGCAGGACGTGTATACCCCATTAGACGCCCTTTTTCAAAATTGAGGAGATAGGGGGTAGAACCCTTTCGGTAGGTCGGAAAGGTTAATTTTCATCCGACTTCAACGCAATTAGGCTCTGATTAAAGCCAATTAAATTCTCTACAAACCTGTTAATGAATATTTTAATTAAGTTTCAATCATCAGCGTTGGTAATTTCTCTATTCTATAGTTCAATTCAAAGTCTTTTGTATATTTACAGTTATGAGTCCTTAATCTATGTAGAATCTTCAATCTCAAATCAACAGAGTCCTAGTCTTTATACTAGAATCTTCAATAATAATACTTTTTAAAGCCTCTGAAGTTTGTAATTTTCACTCTTCAGTTCTGGGCTTTGAAGATCATAAAGTATTTTAGTTTCAAATCATGGGCCTTGAGAATCTTCAAGGTCTTCGGAGTTTTCAAAGATTTCAAACCAAAACAGTTTTGAGTTACCAAGTTTTTCTGCTTCTTTATAATCCAATATCTTCAAAATCTTCAATAATTTTCATTCATTCAGACTCGAATAATGAGCTCTAAAACACTCCAAGATCTTTGAGATGGTAAATATTCAAAAACCCCTATTTGATCCTTTCTTTTGTTGATAATATGGAAAATAACTCAGCAAATAAATGTAGATTGATCACCTAACACCAACAATTCTTATTGTTTTAGACATCTGAATCAAATTCTTACCAACCACCAGTCCACAATTCCAATCAATTTCTAACCGTACCAAAGTTTGAAATCGTGTTGATATTCGAACTGGAACAAATACAAGTTTTACTATTGAAATCGTCCATTGAAGTACAAGTGCAAGACTGGAATTATTTACTAAATTTGACCGGAGACGTTTCGGTGCAAGCGAATTATTTCAACGAGAACGCTCAAAGTTGGGAGCCTGTTATCGAGCCTGTTGTAATCGACGAAAGGGAGTTTAGAGCCTGGGAGTGTCATTTTAGAATTTTCCAAGTAAGAATTGATTAATTTAAAAAAAAAATTACAATATGTTTCTTTTAGGACAAATCCCAAAACATAAACGATCCAAAAGAATCCAAAAAAAAATCCTCAACAAACTCAAATAAAACTCAAAAATCGTACACTACAACAGAAAGTGAAGATTCCGGTGAAGATATGATGTACTTGCAGCCTTTAAATAGCTCCAATTTAAATATAAATCGTAGAGTGAAAGCAAGTTTGAGTACATTTTTAGACGATTCAGACAGTGAAAATGATGAAGGAGCTATGGAAAAATTAGCAGCTGCAATTTCAGATTTATTTACAGGTGATTGGAATGAACACGAAGACAGTGAACTTGAGCATTCTAGCGAAGACGAAAACGACTTAGTATCCGAAATCACCAGACCAAAAGAATTAAGTCAAGAAGAACCATTTGAAAAATGCTTGTATGTCTTGATAAACACAAAAGAAACCTTCAATGTCACAATAACGCCGACATTTTTAAAAGTACTTAACGAACTTGTAGCTCAATATTCAAGCAAAATAATTTATGTTAAACAAGATCGCAAATCCATAAACGTTATCAATGATATCGGGCCTCAAACAAAAGTGGAATTGTATGAGAAAAATACCCAAGAGGACATTTTAATAAGTATGAAAAAATTCGAAAATGAAGACTCAGTTCCTAATAGCCCTAATAAGCAAATTGTTCATCAGGAAAGTATTGCTTTTGAGGAAGAGTAAGTAGAATAAATATTGTTTATAAAATACTATAATACAATTTTTAAGACATTTAGAACTAGAACTTAAACACGATTATGAACAAGGCTACGACTTCACAACAATACGCAGCCTGAATTTTCCACAAGAAACTACTTCAACCCTCTACGATAAAATCAACAAACACTATTTGAAAATATTTGTTTCAAGTTTTGCACCAGTGCAAACAAATTGCTCTAAAAGAACTTGGGAGAAACTAGTCAAGTTGCAACCGATCAATTCCAACAACACATCATTTGCAAACTATTATTTAGCTGTCAGACACAATATTGGACGAATGGGACGGGAAATTGTTGTTGGATCTCCTCTACAGGTAAACCTGTATTTAAACCAAGCAAAATCTAAATATTTTATTTCAGATTCGTAATGAAACATGTTTCGCTTTGAGCATCTTATACCAACCCTCAGTGTTGCAACAAATGAACGTTGAGCCTGTAGGCGAAGTAACAAATCCTTTTGAAACCACAATGAGGATTGCTATTTTAGAGGCTCACGAAACTTATAATGTTCCTTTATACATTGCCTATCATTGCAAATTGTTTATACAACCTGCATATGCTGAGTAAGAATGATTTTAGGTAATTATGGGTGAAAACTTCTTGAGTATTTTTTTTTTTTTTTTAGGGGTCATTATGCATCAGAGTCGGGCATATGGTGGAGAGACATGGCTCGAGAAATGGATACAGGGTATAATTTGATTTGCAAACCTAAAAACGAATCAAATTTGGAACTATTCGCCTTAAGGGTTTTGTTGAAGAGGAATTTGGAAGTGAAAAATTCCCTGGCTCATTCTGTGCCTAATTATTTGGTACGTCTGTTGCCACCTTTGACTATACAAAACTTTTTGCCTTACACTTTAGAAGTGGAGAATTTGCAGTTGAAACAGGTAAAATATATAAGTGTAAGTTTTTTCCATATACTTACATAGATAAATTGTAGGTGGTCAAATCTGAGCCAGGCGAGAAATGCAGCATTTACTCTTTGGACTTGGCAACGGATCAGAAATTTGCAATTAAAATGACATATTCCACGTTAACTTGGCACGGTATTTTGAACGTTACCGGCCATTTGGACGACAAGCTCATTATGATGAGTTCTGAACGGAAATGCGAGAAAAAAGATGTTTATGTTAATGTCAAGTGCGAAAGGGACGGAAGTTGCAATTTGATTTTCTATTCGCAATATTGGATTGTCAATAAAACTGGATTGCCTTTAAAAGTCAAGGTATGTTACTGAATTGATATATGATCAATGACGTGATATTCAACAATTTCAGTTCAAAGGCTCTCCAGAAAATTCATGTCCATAATTGGTAATAGTCTTATGTGCTTTATATTTACCCTAATTATACTCTAAGCAAAGAAAATTGCACTTGAAGTCAAATAAATTACAATGAAAGGTTGAATACTAAAGTCTCAATTTTTTACACCAAAAATTTAAATAAGCAAAATATCTTTCAATTCTGACAGCCACTTCTAATTTTCCCAATTCAAATTATTTCACATCCGTTCAAATGTCATTATTACGGACCAGGAAATATCCATAAAAGAAACACCCTACTCCTACTATTCTCAATACCTTATACGTTTATACATTTCAACACTTCCGATTCATTCCTATTAAACTACCCTTTACCTATATCTATAAATTCTTAAAAGTCCTTTACTGACTGCTTATGCCAAATCAAAATAAATATTTGTTTATTAATATAGGTATTACTAAACTTATTCTTATAAAGCCTTACAATAATTTCTACATGAAAAATAAAAACCCTAATTCAAAATTTCGGAACTTAAGATCATCAATGTTTCTTCATGAACAACAATTTTCGAATAAACCTTCCAGTACTTCTAATAATCATCAACAGCAATTTTATTTCATGAAGAATAACAAGTTTCTTTTCGAAACTTCCATTTTATTTAATGGTTTATTTAATCAGAACAATTACTATTTCCGGATTCCTAGACAATGAACACAATTATTTAATTCTTATTAGATTCGTTACTATAGCACTTAAACTTCAATTTAGACAATCCAATTCAAAATTCTTTAATAATAGACCTATCTATTTTACCAGACAAGGAGGTAATAATACGAAAACTTCATTAAATAGAAAAAGACACAGAACGCTCATTGCTAGCCAATAAAAAGACATTGCCTCGTGTTGCGCGCGCATCCCAGGTAAAAATAGATAGGTCTATTCCTACTTAAAATCGATACTTGTTAAGTGCATTATAAATTCCTCTTTTAATTCTTTGTAAAATTAATTAAAATGTCATTATACTCGAAGACAATTAAATTTATGCAATAATGTTCCATAGTCAAAACACTCGAGCTATTAATATTTATGCAATAAAGTTCCAAAGTTAATTCACTTCATAGTCATTCATCATTTATAAAATCAAAAGTTTCACTAGTCAAAATCACTCAAGTTTTTAGGCATTAAAAGTCATTGTCAATTCACTTCTTATCATTCAGAATCATTGTTAAAAGTCAGAAAAATAATAATCACTAAAGTACTTACATTTAACTTTTCACACGTATAATTACTTAATTTAATTTACTTCAAAAAAATCTCTAGAGCACGCACATAATATTGAACGAATTTAACTGTTCTTTCTTTTACAATTTTCCGTTACTATTTCAAAGACCTTTTTCCAAGGCAGTAAAAGAAACTTTCGCGAATTTTACCAGGACTGACACATTAGGTACTGTAGATTTAACTGGACTGAGCTAACAACTCAACTAACAACTGACTTCCAGTTCTAAAACCGCCCGTTTTATATTTTTCAATTCCCCCCCAAAGTATTATCAATTATCCACCAAAATCGTCAATAGGCGGTCGTTTGACCATCAATAAGACTATTTCATTGGCCGACCTAGATATTATCAAAAATAATGATGATTTGTTTAAAATCGAATAACACTTATTTTTGGTTCAAGAATGCCATAAATCATTGATTTAATTACTATGGCCTCGCTTTAAATAAGTTCATTGTTTCGATGTTAGATGACATCACGCTTGGTGACTAAATAATAGAATTTTTTAACGTATAAAAAATATTTTAATTTAATTTGGGGTCAACGCTAATTTGTTCCATTTTCAATTTATCGATACTGATTAGAAATACCGGAAATTCAGGTTTTGATTATTTGATTACATTTAATTTTTACAGTAAAGACATTATTAATATCGGGACTATTTTTCCGGATCACGTCAATCATAACCATACAAATTTATTTCAGGCATCGAATTCGCCGAACATTCAAGATTCACCCAACGACGATATATTGCTGTTCGCCTACAAACGTCACAGCAAACAAACCTTAAACGTTCAAGTGTACGATTCTGCGTGGTCCAACGATTTTTGCGCCGAATGTTCCGGTACAACCGGTTTGGTCGTCTGCAAAGACAACGAACGCAAAAAACGTTACATGCTCTTCATGAATTCGAATTTGAGCAACTTTTGTCCGAGACTGACGAGAATCGTGACGATTTTGCCTAGTTTTCTAGTCACGAACAATACTGGAAAACGATTGAGGTGATAATTTGATACATTCAATCATCAAAATCATCATAATTGCTTCTTTTAGATTTATGGAAGACAATGAAAAAACTGATTTGTGGATCGACCTGGATCCTTCACAAACAGTTATTTATTGGCCCGATACACCTTCGATGCAAATCTTTGTCAAATACCGCGACAGCAATTTAATTTCTCAAGCTGTTTTTACTTCTAGACAACACAAAACTGTTTTAAGAATGGACAAAGGAGTAAGCAATAATAATCAAACAAATAATAAATAGATAAGGGGTTTTCCTTCGGGCTTAACACGTTAAGCGCCATAGCAAAATCGCTAAACTTGTTCAAGGGGCTATTATTTTCAATTTTGTTATTCTACTTTATTACGCTTATATTTTGTATAAGTAACTATATTTATATGTTTTTTTTTATCATTTAGCATATTTTTGAAGAAAAATTTAAAGCATTCACTGGTGACCATCGTGGTCCTACAGGAAGATTCATTGGAATTCTGGTCATCGGTGACGATATCGGTCATGTTTGTGCAGGTGTTTGTAGCATGGCGCTAGGTCGCAGATTCCCGCCTTAGTTCAGCATATTTATTCTCATTTCTCAGGCGAAGCACGTATTTTTATTGTGGATCTATCACTGAAAAATATGTGAGTGAACGTACCAAACGTATTATTCGAATAGCAAAACAGTTTACACCAAGTTTGGAAGACGAAGAAGACTCCAATTAAGAACCATTTGGTTCAGACTTCCGGGATGATCGAGAATATATTACTAGTGATGATTCTGCCAGCTCTAATGAGCCAGAAAATGTAAGATAAAGAGGCAACATTTTATTTTCCCTGTGTTTCCCACAGGGCCACTAAAATTAAAAGCCTGACTTATGGAGAAGCTCCGTATGGGCCACAGCGGGCAGGCTGTTCTATATAATTCAACATACTATCGGGCATCTGGCCTAGAAAACTTTGAAAATCTTTCAGCGACAGTCGGTCATTGGTGACCGCCGTGGCCTACCGGGAACTCCACCGATCGGTCACCATGGCGCCTAACGTGTGGCCGTCGTAAGTTGGAATTTCTTCCTAACGTTTCGCTAGCACGCGTGGCTATCATCTTCAGAGGTGCTTCCGTGTCCGATTCTAGTAGCAGACTGACGCGTTCCCTACCGTAAGTTGTATTTATGTGTGAGTGGCTGTGTTGGGGAGGGGCGGGGCTTCGCTCAACTTTCTCTGTAATCAATGGGATCTTTCTTGCGTTTTTGAGGATCGGGTTCCAGATTTGGTTAAGTTTTAGTGTTTCTTCTTGCCTGTTGAAGTTCTCCGTATGTTTGTGGATTTCTATAGCTTGGTTCAAATTAATTTGAAAATTTGTTACTTCGAGACAAAATAACCTAGGGTCATGGAATTCAAAAAATTAAGATAACGTGTAGTCCCTTTATGTGCAAATGAAACCACTCAAAATCCAACAAACAATAATTTTATTTGATATTGAACAATGTTATATCTAACATAGAGTAACAGTAAATGTTACTGTAAAATTTTACTGTTGACAGCTTGGTTTTTCCGGTGAATCTGATACCATATACCTTTCCAACCCGGAGCTCTTCAATGGGTGTTAAGGTTTCACTTTCGTGAACTGGAGCTCTTCATGTTGTTTCCTGTATCCAGGAAGAGGATAGATTGCGGGAGTGACGTCACTCCAGCTGATCCAGACTCCAAACAGTGATCTTAATATCGAGTAGGTACCCAGAAAAGAATAAGACAGTATCAGATTCACCAATATTTGGAATATTAAATCCCTGAATTCTGTCAAAAAGTGAGTGTTTTGCAAAGGAAATAGAAATTGAAATTTAATATAAAATGATTGTTGTACAGACACTCCCTTCCAACAGAATAGGTATGAACAGCTATTGCAAGTTGAAAAAAAAATAATATTTTAATATAAAATACAATTAAATAATTAAGGATAATGGAAAGATAATAATAAAATTAAAATAATAACAAGATTAAATTAAAATGCTTGTTATGATAAAGCAAAATGCTGCTTTCCTGACAGCAACTTTGGCAGGGAAAAATGTGAACAAAATAAGGTGAAACAATAAGAAATTAAATCTTTGAATTCTCCCCTAAATAGACAAAATTTTCCTTTCAAATTAAAGTAGCAGGTAGCTACTATAGATTCTACAAGATAAATCTGAGGTTGAAATTAATCAAATCCAGAATATGTCAAATTTCTTGAGATGTTCTAATTAAAACTTCTTTCTGAATTTTTGACCTGTCTGGATTTCTATTAAAAAATTACACCTTTTAGTCGAGATAATAATTGAGGGAGTCAAACAGAAAATGACTATTCAGGCCTCTGCCTGGATTCAATAAAGCGTTGATAGGGATGGACACAAAAATTTGGTTTTCACCTACTCTATTTAGAGCAAATGATCCAATATTCCCACACTAACAATTGATTCTGAACACTAGAGCAACAGTACCTTTTTAAAATCCAAAAATCTGAATTGACTTACCTCAGATAAACGTGGCACTACCAATGGACACTCACACAAAATGAAAGCCAACAATTAGATGTAAAAAATATAATATTTATATTTCAAGAACAGATAAGATAAGATTTATCAGGTAAAAACTAAATAATGATATGATAATATGCATTGATAGCAAAATATATTAAAAAATCTATAAGGGAGAATCCAAAAATTAAGAGCAAAAATTATTCAAAATAAAGAAGATTTGCCTGCCAGACTTCTGTTGAGGAAAGAGATCGTTTTAGAAACCAAAGCCCACAGGAAAACGATCCTGTATTTTTCATACTTAACTGCATTTTAACCAGTTCAACCAATTAGACGAGTACACTCAAAAGATCATATCCACTTTACAATGAAATAACAATGAAAAACCGCGTGGAAAAAAAGAGAATAGATAAAAATCCACTAAATAGAATTATTTTAATTGTTTACAAATTATAATAATTTAAATTAAGGTTATGTCAAAAATAAAAAACCAATTAATTAATTAGGTCATTAAGCCAAAAAATGATTATTTCAGAATCAGAGGTTAGAGAAAGTCAGAACTATATCCATTTGCTAAAAGTGAGATAAATATAATTTCATTGAATGAAAATACAAATGCGAAATAATTAAAATTATACTTGGATCAGGTGGATTCGCTCTCGGAGAAATGCTTTTTCAGTTCTGGAGTAGATGCGATGTGCTTATGGGGTGTCTTGGAGGAGCGCTGAAAGAAATCTAGAGGAAAACTAAGCGACACGGTGTACCAAAAACCTACACACACAGACAGGTACCTGCATGCACTTTCAAACCACCATCCAAGGCAAAAACGAAGAAATATAACAACGTTAACAGAACGTGCTCGGAACATCTGCGAGCCACAATATCTAGAGCAAGAACTGGATCATCTCAAGTCAGCCTTTCTATAAAAGGTTACAATGCATCTGAAATCGACAGAGCTATGCGACCCAAAACTGCCACACGATAAAACGTGGATAAACTTCCAACTTATCTGCCTTTCATTTCTCGGATGACAGATAGGATAGGGAAAGTCTTGAAAAAACACAACATAAAATTGCAGACTAGGACAATCGGCAGTTGCGGAACATGCGCTTAGTGAAGGGAATCATGAAATACTCTTTGGTGAGGTCAAGCTTTTTGCACCGACTTCCGGATATACCACAGTCGTCTTGTACGTGAAGCTATAGAAATCCACAAACATACGGAGAACTTCAACAGGAACGAAGAAACACTAAAACTTAACCATTTTGGCATTGTATGTAGTGGGTTTAGTGAGTAGGTACAAAAATATTCAGTTCCTGATCCTAACATCCCTAACTATTTATTTATATATACCCGCTTTGACAAACAGTTTGAATATTTTTTTGTTTAGTATAGTAAAGTAAATTTTAGGGGCCCTAATACAAAAAGTTTAGATGACAAATATCCATTACCCAACATAACGGATCTCTTGAAGAAGCTGGGACGCTGCCAGTATTTCACCACCTCAGATTTATCTAGGGGCTCCCATCAGATCCAGATGCATGAAAACAACATCGAAAAACCCGTATTCAGCACAGAAAACGGGCATTATGAGTTCTTGCGCATGCCTTTTGGTTTGAAGAATGCGCCGGCTACATTCCAAAGAGTTATGGATGATATTCTATATCCCAATATATTGACAAACTTTAACACTGAAAGATGGAACATCCCATCAATAATAGTTATTCATTATAAGTACAAGGGAAAAAGTATTAGATTTTAGAGCGAGATGTGGTTTGCCTCCTGTGATGAAGCGGAGGGAGACAACAACAAGGTGGCCAAAGAGCGCTGGGAATGTTGGAGGTGGAACAGGGGAAATCGTTATCTTTCGTTCTCTATTCAACTTTAGAGTTATTCTAGACATTTCATTCTATTGCATTATGGCCTGTGTTGAGTTGTCAATTGTATATAGGTAGTTCATTTTTTGGCCATGCCATTAGCTTATTTATAAGTTTGTTTCGTGCCATAAGTTGAGTTTTTTTCAATTTGTTTTCAATGAAAGCGAGGCATCATAGCGAGGGAGTGTGTTGATTTCAGTCCATATTATTAACGTTCTACTATAAATTTTCATCAAAATTTGTTGAAATAGCCGCTTGCCCTCATCATTGGAATTCCTAAAAATACTGTGAAAAAACCCAAAAATTTCGCAGCTGCGGTGCTTTCCTTCCTGCAGTGCTTTTCTTCCTGCAGTGCTTTCCTTCCTGCAGTGCTTGCGGCGAAGTTGCCATTGCTGTAAGGATCACTTCCTGCAAATTTGCTCCTCCCCCCCCCCCCCCACAAGACCAAATCCTGACTACGCCAATGGTGCCGAGTATAGCCGAGCTGTCGAAGATGTACGAATTTTAATAAGGAATATGAACGAACCTGCGGGGACGATCAATGATCCAGCGTGGCGATCCTGCAGTGAAATGAGTCTGTCAACTGGTCCCATTTAAGTATATGTGTCTAGTAGCTTAATCCTGTCTGTCTAATTATTTGTACTTATGTTAATTTTTGGAGCCCCCATTGTAATTTTGAAATTCCGGCGCCTATGAATCTGCAACCTGATCCTCAAAAATGCTAGAAAAATCCCATTGAGTACAGAGAAAGATGAGAGTTGCCACGTTCCGCGAAGCTCCACCCCTTTCCCACCACAGCCACTCACACATAAATAAATACAACTTACGGTCGGGAACGCGTCAGTCTGCTACCAGAATCGGACATGGAAGCCTCTGAAGATGCTAGCGAAATGTCAGGAAGACATTCCAACTTACGACGGCAATTAAGCCCGAATTAAAACCCCTTATCAAAAACCTGGGCCTCACAAACTTTATCAAATAATAAATAATTAATATTTATTTCTATATATCTAGACAGCAATTACAGTTGAAGCTACAGGAGGCACTTCGGGCCCATTTCGTATTATTTTCAACGAATATAAAACAGGCGATTGTCCGGTGCTGATTAAAAACTACTGTGCCGATTTATATTTGAAAATCCAACAAAAAGATCAAAGTCATGTTAGCTTGTTGAATCCTAATCACAGTTTACTGTATACCTGGGACAATCCTGTTTTGTCCAGAGTTTTAACTTGGAACGTTTACAACAATAAAGGTTCTGGATTTATTTTAGATGTTTATAAGGATGGGTAAGTGATGTTTGTTGAAATTTATGTTTAATTTAATTGTTGTTTTTCGAGGTATGGGGAAGAAAAAATCAAATTCCAATCAGTATCGACCAATACTAGCCAACAAGAATCGTCTTCAAGTGAAGATTCAGACAGTTCAAATAGTACTTTAAAAAAACTAAACAAAAAAGTTAGAAAAGACAAAATTATTATTTATTGGGCTTGTTTTGTGTAAGTAATTATTATCTACTTACAAGTAAATTGTAGCTAATTTTTTTTATACACACAGCAAAGGCCCTCAAAGAATCTTGCTCTTCACTCAAGAGCAAAGGATTTTCGAAAACTTGCTATCAACTCATTTTCATGAAACTTGCAACTTTGAAGCCCTTATTTCAATTTCTGGAATAGGTTTGTCACTATTTACATCTGACAATGATAAAAAAGAACATTTTTACGCAAGTCTATGTGATTCACCTGCAATTTGGGAAGTAAGGTCTTCCAGTTGTTTGAATTTCATGCAAAATTTAATCCTAAACTTTCAGGTAAATGTTGGTCAGAAATGGAAAACCTTGACGCTGGAACTGGCTTCGTGGATTGAAGACAAGTACAAACGTGCAACCACGAATAAAAAGTGTCAAATAAAAGATTACGTGCACATTGATTTTGAAAAAATGTTTATGTTAAAACCGTTTTTTGCTGAGATACGACGCACCTACGCCCCAGCGATTAGTTGCCAATTAAGGAAATCTCCAAAATTCCAATACATAGATTTTCGTTTGAATTACCTACAAATCGACAACAAACAAAGCAATTGTATCATATTTCAACCGATAATTGTCAATAATAATGGTGATATGCACAGTCAAAATTCAATGTTTAAGCTGGTGATTTCGAAGCAAATTGAGCAAGATTTTGATTATTACAGGTTTATTAAAATTGACTTAAATGATGTGGCTTTGAATGTGGAAAACGATCTTTGGACAAAAATAGGGGAATTTTTGAAGGATATTAAAAAGTTTGGCAAAGACTATAGTTGCTCTTCAGCTTATATTGTCGATATTACTTCGATTAGGAAAAATATAACTTCTGTAAGTTATTTTTTTTGTAATAGGTATTATACCTTGTGAATAATTTTTTTTTAGAGTTTATTATTTTCAACCAAAAATCATCAATCAAGAATCGAGCATTTGAGTTTGTCAAGCTTTGGAGTTCAATTGACAATTTCCAATAGGCTTCAGATTGGTTTGTTGAGCAACACAATGACCATAAATCGGATTTTGGATTATTTGTTTCCTTATAATATGGCTCCTTACATGCCTATGGAAGGGGTGCATCATAAGTAATCAGCTATTTTAGTTTCATTGCTGTTTAATCTATTGTAAATTGTTGCAGAATTACAGCAATAGAGTGGACGGACATTGACGAAAGTCTTAGAAATTGTTTGGCTAATTTAATTGAAAATGTCGCCTGTAGATTTCTACAGCAGTATTATTCACAGGTTTTGGGTTTGCAAGTGCTTGTTAATAGTTTCGATAGACAATCTGGGGTCGAGGTAAGTTTATAAGCTTTTCAATCTCTGAATTTTTTCGGCATTTTTGGTATTTCTGAAGATTTCAGTCTCAATTGTATTCTAAAGTCTTGAAAAATCAGGCATCAGGAGTTCAGAATTAATGAGTAACTTGCTACACCCCAAATTGCTTCACACGATTTTATTTCTGGAACTATAAGTCCAAATGAGCTGAAATTTTCAGGGATTGTAATCCTCTACTGGGATAAGAATCGCTAAAAATTTCAGTTCTCTATTTTTAATAGAAAAAAAAATTATGACTGTTGTGATTTCAGCAATAATTACTATTACTTCTTCAAATAATCATTCAGCATTCTTTATAACATGGACCTTTTATTCATAATTATTACAATTATATTGACAAATGACAATTCTATGATAATCTACCTGAAGACTAGTGCCCTGTCTATTGTTTCAGAAAACACAATTTCGGAAACCCTAGTGATACAAATTGATACAAACATGATACAAACTAACAAACTTCTCAGCAGATATCAAGAAAAGCATTACAAAATACACCCTCTCTTAATGCTTTGCTTGAGCTCTATAATAAAAAATATACAACAGTCAAAATAAACTTAAAAAAAATATACTAAATTCTAAATTCTATCCCTCTCTGATTTGTAACCCTATCTTATTGTAATTTAAGTAAAACTGAGTTTTGTGAAGGCCCTTTGTCAATACATCTGCCAATTGAAGTTTTGTACCAATATACTCCAATGTCATTATCTTAGAATTTAAAGCTTCACAAACAAAATTATACTTTAGATCAATGTGTTTAACTCTCTTGTTATTTTCTGGATTTTTGATTAAAGCAATGCAACCCTGATTATCCTCAAAAAGTTTGAATGTTTTAAAATTTAATTTCATGTCAATTAACAATTTCCTATACCATAAACAATCTTGTACTGCTGTACACAAGGCAACTAACTCAGCCTCTGAACTAGAGAGAGCTACACAATTTTGTTTACCCAAGTTATAGTATTTCCAAATATCTGTATCAAATATCCTGAAACCGACTTCCTATCATTCACATCTCCGGCCCAATCAGAATCTACAAAGCAAACAAACGGAGTTGACCCATCCTTTCTTTGAAACTTCAAAACTGTATTAATCGTTCCCTTCAAGTTTCTCAATAGTCTTTTTAAAGCTGTCCACACCTCATCATTATTTTTGTCTTGAAATATACTTAGATAATTAACTGCAAAACTTATATCTGGCCTTGAACCCATTAATAAATACATAAGACAACCAATCAATTGTCTTACAGGTTTGTCCCCTTTGTCGTTCTCATTTAAGAAAATTTTTAACTTTGGATCAATTGATGTTGGTGAACTATTACAATTTTCAAAATTAAAACGCTTTAGAATTCCCATTAAATATCTTTTTTGACTTAACTCCAAAATTCCCTCTTGTCTTTAATAATTAATTTCAAGCCCCAAAAAATGTTTTAATTCCCCTTTATCCTTTAATTCAAAATACTTTACTAAATTATCTCTACATGTCTCAATTTTGTTATAATTCTGTCCTGTAATTATAATGTCATCTACATATAACAGTAAATACATTAATTCATTATTACCAAAATCTTTTATGTACAAACAGTAATCAGTTTCTGATCTTTCAAATCCTAAATCTATTAAGTGACTGCTTATTTTATTATTCCAACATTTAGAAGCTTGCTTTAAACCATATAAAGCTTTATTTAATTTGAATACCCTATCAGATTCACATTCAATCATCTCTGGTGGATTGATATAAACATCCTCATTCAGATCTCCATTCAAAAACGCGGTTTTAACATCTAATTGTTTGAAATGATACTTATACTGATTTCCAATGGACAAAATCATTCTTATTGTTGACATCTTCACAACTGGTGAATACAATTCATCATAATTGAAAGAATCTCTTTGTGCATATCCCTTTACTACCAATCTTGCTTCATATTTGTCTTCTTCTTTTTCTTCCATACATTTTGAAGCGAATACCCACCTTGTGTTTAAAATCTCTTTTCCTTTTGGCCTCTTTACTTTGGTCCATGTATTTTCTTCTCTATTGACTCTATTTCCTTGTTTATTGCTCTCAGCCACATACTTTTATCTTTTCTATGCATTATTTCTTCTAAATTTTCTGGCACTTCCTCAACATCTGATACGGCATCAAACGCCATATAAAGCTCATAATCATTATATCTTTGAGGTACTTTACATATTCTTTTATTATTTGTACTAAAAATTGGTAAAATTTCTTCCTCTATTTCTGGCATATTATTATTTTCTGGTTCATTTTCCACTAATTCTCTACTTTCATCTGTTTCTTCAAATTGTATTCCTACTTTTGGTAGTTTGTAGTGAAATTCATTTTCGTTGAAAACTACGTCCCTTGCTACAATTACTTTTTGCTCCTCAAGGTTCCATAGTCTATAGCCAATTGTTGTGTATCCGATCATAACATCTTTCACTGCTTTTGAATCGAATTTGTTCCTAAATTGTTTCGGTACATGAGCATAAGCTGTACATCCAAAAACTCTAATATTACTTATATTTGGCTTTGAGCCGTTCCAAATTTCTGCTGGTGTTGCATTTGTAAGACTATTAGTTGGTGTTCTATTCAATAAATAAGCTGAAACTCTCATTGCTTCATTCCATAAATGCTTTGGCATATTTGCTTCTAAAATCAATCAAGCTTCTATTAAATCTCTCAGCTTTTCCATTTTGTTCCGGAGTGTATGGGGTTGAAAAATCAATAACAGTTCCATTATCAATGCAAAAGTTTTTCATTTCACCAGATATGTACTCCCTTCCATTATCACACCCAAGTGTAGAAACCTTTAAATTAAATTTTGTTTGAACCATATTAATATATTCTTTAAAATAACTAAGAACTTCATCTTTACTTTTTATTATATAAACCATAACAAAATTTGAGAAATCATCAATGAACGTGACAAAATATTTGCCCTTATCATGACTTAATGGCATTATTGGTCCAGCAACATCTGAATGTATGATTTCTAAAATTCTCTTTGACCTTTTTCTGGTACCAAAATGAAATCTTGACATTTTTCCAGTACAACCTTCACAATTTGTCAATACCTTGAGCTAAATTATTTTTGAAAAGTTTTTCCAAATTTGCATAACAAATATGTCCCAACCTTTTATGCCATAATTTCGTATTTTTATCCTCAGTTTCAATATTTAAACATTCTTTATTATTTTCAACTTTAAATAAAATTTCATACAATTTATCTCTATGTCCTAAACCAACTAATGTTTTGTTACTAAATAAAAACACTTTTCCCTGATCAAAAACTACTCTAATATTTGCGATTTTTAACCTTTTAACTGACAATAAATTTCGTCTCAGGTTGGGTACATAGAACACATTTTTTATTTTACATTCTACCTCCTTATCATAAATTTTACTCAAAACTTTAATGTTTCCTACTCCTACTGCTTGCATAAAACTTTTATCTTTAGCTACTGCTATATTTATAGGATTCTCAAGCTCCAAATAATCAGAGAAATATTTTTTGTCATTAATTAAATGATCTGTACACCCTGAATCAATATAAATCAGTTTTTACACTTACAGTGTCATTGTCATTATTATTTGTCATAAAACATATTGGATCTTGTTCGGATTCAACATTTGTCTCAGTCCAATTACCTTGATGACTTCCTCTTTCATTGCCATAATGTCGATTTTGATAGTCTCTGCCTCTACTTCTGTAACCGCTTCTTTGAAATCTTCCTCGTTCGTTAGAATTACCTCGAAAACCACCTTGATTATAGCCTCTTCCGAAACTTTGACTGAAACCTCTCGAAAAACCACCTCTATTAAAGCTTCTTCTTAATCCAAAACCACGTCTTTCCGATGTATCATGGTTAATATTATTAGGACAATCATTTTTAAAATGACCTCTTTTTCCACATTGAAAACATACCTACATTTCTGTCAAAAACTCTATCTGTCGTAAATGCTGCAGCTTTGTTGATATCACTTCCATGCTGCTTCATAGTTGTTTCAGTAATTGCTCTCTTCTTTTCAACCTCACTTCTTAGTTTTGATTTGACCAAATTAATAGTTAAATCACCTGGATCCATATTTTCTAAAACTGTTATAACTGTTTCAAAATTCTTTGGCATTGCTAGTAGCAAACTGCAAACTATATCTTCGTCTTGGATATCAGCAACTGTGGCCTTTAATTGTCTGATAGTGTCATCAAATTCTTTTAAGAAATGTTCCAAATTTTCCATTTCATTAAGTTTCATAGACATTAATTTACGTCTTAGCATGAGTTGTCCTGGTATACCTTTTTTCTCGTAGCGATCCTGTAAGCTTTTCCACATAGCATAGGCAGTTTCCTTGTCTCGAATTGTATCTAACTGTGTATCTTCTAAGCATTGTACAATATAAGACTTACATCGCTGATCTTTCTTCTTAGCTTCTTGCAATTTCTTTTCATCAGTATAATCAGTGGCCCTGAATTCCTTCTCTACAGAATCTTTAACATCTTTTTCTTCCAATAATATTTCCATTCTGAATTTCCAAGCTTGATAATTTTTGTCATTCAAGGGCTCAATATTGAAAGTGTTATTTTTTCCTGCCATGGTGCTAATTTTATTTTATATCACAAAATAGAGTTTCTTGGGGCCCGTAACCTGTTGTGATTTCAACAATAATTACTATTACTTCTTCAAATAACCATTCAGCATTCTTTATAACATGGACCTTTTATTAATAATTATTACAATTATATTGACAAATTGACAATTCTATGACAATCTACTTGAAGACTAGTGCCCTGTCTATTGTTTCAGAAAACACAATTTCGGAAACCCTAGTGATACAAATTGATACAAACATGATACAAACTAACAAACTTCTCAGCAGATATCAAGAAAAGCATTACAAAATATTTAATTTCACAACAATGACCATTCAAAGTTTTTCAAAATCTAAATCATAAGCTACCTTCTTACTAAAACGATGAAATTTCAAATTTTTTTTGTTGATATTTTGTGTCCTAATGATCCTTTGGGATCCCCCAAACTCCATACACCAAATTATTCTGAGATTTGGAGCCAGATTCTATGAAAAAGGGCACTCAGAAAAATTAAAGACTTGATAAATCACCCCAAACACAATTTTATTTCTGAAACTATAAGTCCAAATAAGTTGAAATTTTAAGGGATTGTAGTCCTCTACTTGGAAAAGAATCCCTAAGAATTTCAGCTTTCTATCTCTAATAGAAAACAAAGTTTTTGAGTCTTTACTCTGATTCACCAAGAGTTGGGAATAGAAAAAAATTGAGAAATACGGAGAGGGGAAATTAGGGAAAACTTGAAAAAAAATTAGTAGACAAGTAGAAATATATTTTTTTCTTAATTGGAGATGTTCAACCGAAACAAAAATTCAAGAGCCAGGAATAGACAAAAAAATGAAAAACGTATAGAACTCTGAATTATTCTTATTTATAAATTCTTCTCAAACAGTTTCATATTATAAGACTTTTCTGATAATCTGTATTTGTTTTTGTAGTCAATCCATGTCGATCCTTCTCGTTCTGCCTCGGCCATCCTGTACGGTTCCCAATGTCTATTAGGACACGTCACCATGTCCCCTGCTGCCCTGGAAACTTGCATCCTGGACGTTTTTCCAAACTTAAATCTGGAAAAGGCCCAACCCAAACCTCCTAGCAGAAAACGAAGCAACGAAAGCTACGCGATTTTGCCTAAAATCATCGCTAATAGCGGCAGAAATTTTGAAGTTGGAGTACCTATTGCACTTGCGCAGTTGTTTGTTAAGAATTATAATGGTACCTAATTACATTACAATTTAATTCAGTTTTAATATAATTCTTATATACAAACAGGTAGTACCCAATGTGATGGCGAAATGTTCTTCAAAACATCAGGCAAAGCTTTATTTTCTCTTATATCCAGACATCCGGATGAGAAATCTGATTTTGTCGAATTGGCTAAAGAGGCCTTGAGAAGAGCGTTGATTTTGGGTGAACCAATTCGGATTCATCAAAGACTTACACGATACAGAAACGTTTTGGGACTATTGCCGTTTTCCTGTTACGAATCGATGGGACAATATTTATTGGAGACTATAGGCAATTGTCGATTTTCCAATGACAGATATTGGTCTCACGTTGCACTTGACAAAATTGGAAAATCTATTGTAATAGTGTCTTTAGAGTATGTATTAATATTTCTTGTTCAAATAATTATTATGTTTGTGTATTTCAGGCACGTAATTCGTATAAACAAATGTACTTTATGGGGTCCATGGGAAGTTGAGTGGATGGTTGATTTAGATGATATAATTTCTTTGCCCAAGATTAATTGCGTTGAATTAATTTTGAATATGAGACAGGTTAATAATTAATTATTTTATATGGTTTTTCAATTATTGTTGGAATATTTTATTAGGCTGAAGCAGAGCAACAGATAAAAATTCCGGGACCCAAAGAAATATTGGTGTGGCTGCACGAAAAAATCGAACAGGCCATCATATTGAGCATGGAAGATAAATCATGGACCTTACAAGAAGCAGATTAAAATTTATTGAATGTTAGCATAAAAGAAAAATAAAGAATTGATATTTTTAAGATGTCATATCCTGGAGCTATTCAAGATAGAGATTTGAAAGTTTAATAAAACACGACTGGGTCCATGCACTTACAAAACAAGTATAATTCTTGACTGCAAACTAGGTTATGATGTTCTTGACGTGTGTCACATACATAACCTCACTTTCGTTGAGGGGACAAACAAAGCGTTTGAAAGGTCCATTTAACACACAGGCGCTAGTTTGTCACAAATAACATAACGTGACTTTCGTTAGGGGGACAAACATGTCATTGAGGTTATGTGTGAGACGTCAGCTAGCACCTAAACTCGCTTAAATCCACTCAAAATCTCAATCTCTCTTGTATTTTCCGCAGTCTATCCCCACTTCATGTAGTTCATTCATTAATCCACTATTGTCGTTTAGGATTGTTGGCCGCAGAAACCAAACGATTTTATGAATGACTTGCCCTCTCTATTTATGTAGTGTTACTCTGAGATTTTAACCATTCTGGGCCCATAACCTGTGGGAATTTATGTATTATTACCGGCTCCACATTAATATATTTTGGTGTTTTTCTTGAAAATTATTAAACCTACACTAATGGCGTTTTCGATTGGTAGATTTAGTGCAGAACTAGTGCAATTTTTTCTATTTCTGTTCTTTTCTTCTACAGATCGATTAAAAGGATGCAAATACACTCAGTGCGCACTGAATTTACCAATCGGAAACGCCATAAAATTGTTAATTAGTAATTTGTAGAGCATTTGATTGCATGGCTGGAAATTGAAAAAGTTATGAGGCAAAATATGAAGCACTTTGTATTTTGTAACAGGGACCTGTATTACCGTCCTACTTGATTAATGGCGTTTGCATTATGTTCAACTCTTTCTCTGGGCCTGGTATGGAGAGAAATGAAAGAAACATTTTTTTTTTTGCCAAAATCATTCTTTAAGGCCTGCTTCACTCTATACACAAAAAGCCTTAGTTTTCTCGGTACTCACCCCTTAATAATAGAGAGTTCTCGTGCTGTCCAAATTTCAAATACCGTAACGCTATTTGACAAATATGACAGTTCTTACGGTATTAGCGTTAGCGGAGCCCGCTATCTAGTGGAACTTACCGGATGCCTTACCGTAACGCTATGCTATGTCAAAACTAGTTTACGCTCGATTTGTGTCTGCAAAAACAACAACTTCTAATAATTCCTCAATAAAAAACACCAAGGGAAAATTAATCAAGCTCAGGAATCTTCAGAATAAATAAAAGTTACAAAACAAGCAAAAAAAAGTTGGGTTAGATCACTCAACTCAGCTGTCAAAATGTAAACAAAATAAGGGATTAGAGGATTTATGTGTCTTCGTGTCCGAGAACTATAAAATACCATGTGGAATACCGTATTGTTAGCGGTAAAGGTAAAATCAGCACTAAAGACTACGGTGACGACATAAAAAGCTGCGCGAAGCGGGTCGGATCTCTCTCCCTCGTCTATCTCTCGCTGTCTGCCGTGACCTCGGCCGTGAGCTGAAGCCAGCAGCGGGGTATCTTTTCAGACAAAACTTGGATACAAAATAAACCAAATAAATATGCCTGCTGGTCGTACGACAATGAACCACGTGCTTGACGTTCGGCAGCAGCACCAATCGATACGATAGTTCGGTTAGTCTTCAAAATTGGGTTTGTGCGCAAATGACGACACCGTACTCTTTAGTCTTGACGCGGACTCTACCGTAGCGTCTGACACACGAGACCTTTCTTTAAGCTTGCCATACGTCCGGTATTATACGGGACAGTCCCTTATTTCAAGGTCCATGTTCCGCGTCCCCAAAGTTGTTCGGATGCGTAAATATCCCGTATTCTCTGATATTTTAAAAAGCGAAAAATAATTCTATTTTTGCGTCTCATTCCTAGTCTCAGCAAATCGCAACATGCTATAGGTTATTCAAAAGCATTTGCCATTTGATTTGACAGTATAAAATTTGGCGGGTTTGGCCCAAGGATAATACAATGATAAGATAATACACATATTTAACTATAGGTTTTTTACGTTATATTTAGGATGACGTCAGAGAACAAGGACTGACAATGTTGTCAATGCCTATTTGTTTTCTAATTTACTAGAATGTCATAGTGAATTATCAAGACCACTGACAGCTAAAAATAACGAAATGAATCGACACGCGTTATTTATTTGAAAATGTTCATTTAAATCATGCAAAATCGCGCGCCGTTGCCAACCAGAAACATCTGAAATTCCCCTACTTTAAATGCGTTAAGAATTACTTTTAGTTTTGTTAGATTTGCAGCAGAAATTTACTAATTGTGACGTCATCCTAAATATAGCGTGAAAATCCTATACTCTATACTAAGGATTGCTTATTGGCCTCGTTTTTGGTAATCGCCGCCATATTGGAGTGTCACCATGACCGACGTCAGACGTCATTAACTAAAGTCGTTAGCAATATTTGCAAACGTAGTTTGGAGCTTATAAAGAAAATTATTAATAAATTTTGATTAACATAATAGGCAAAGAGGAAGATGAAAACGAGATTTGAAATAGATTGCTTTAGAATGTTAATTAATATAGTAGAACCAAGTATGCATAAAGCCCGCTGAATCATAACCTATGGTGCAATCAGCCTACGTCAAAGCGAGAAACGACATGTTGCCTACGTCACAACTGGTAATTTGGAGATGGGAGCCATGGGAGGGGAAGGGAGTATTTGTTACACACAAGCATTATGAGTTATGATGATAGGCTATTCTGTAGTAGTAGTGTGTATTATCCTTGGATTCGGGCTACGGATTGTTTCTGGATTCTTGCGTTTTTTTGAGACAAATACGCCGAAGTAGATAGAACAATAAAATTGGGCGTGGTCCCGAAAAAAAAATGCGCCTGCGGTGCTATTTTTTTCATAAATACATAAAACATCTCCTTCATATAAATGTCCCATTTTTTTATCAGAATAATATGGTAGGCTTACCCCTTAAACTGTGGCCCCCGCTCGGAAATTCAGTTTTCCGGGTAAAATAAACACCGAATTCCAACCGTGACACTTTTCCGAACACTTTAGACAACTTTTTCCTATTGAAAACTGGAAAATTCGACGAAAAATCGGAGGCCGAAATAAAAACGCGTTGGCATTTTTCACTTATAAAGGCCGACTGTCAAGTGTCAAAATTGACATTCCAAAGCCTGCTTGATTAAAACTTATGATTAAAAGCTTACATAATTACATTAATTTTGATGCAATTTAACTTAACTAGGCCTTAATTAAGTCCTAATAAGTTATTCTACTCGATTTTAGGTTTTTTTATGGGGCTCGCGCTTGCAGCGCCATCCCGTGACAAATGAATGTAGTTCCCGTATTGTTTCGAAATGGCTTACGCGTTTTTATTTTTATTGCCGGTTTTTCGTTGAATTTTTCAGTTTTCCATAATTTTACTAAACATTATTAATTAATTATTTAACTAAATTTTAAACAAAAAAACTATTTAAAATGTATTTGTTGTGGCAACGTTGCTTTTAAATCAAGTAGGCCTTGTAGTGAAATGTCATTTGCCACTTTGACAGTCGGCGATTTTTAATTGACGTGTTTACATTTTATATAGTTGTTCCTCAGATTTTTCGCTTTTCCAGGCCATTTTCATTCGGGAAAACTGGTTTAAAATACGAGGCTTCATTTTCCGCCAAATATTTCCAGTTTTTCAAGGGGGTAAGTAACGAAAACTCACATTTTATCAAGTAGGCATTGGCAAAACAGCTCTGGGCTGGGACGGTAACGGCTGTATAACTGATAGAGATCGTTATCTCTATCGTATCGCTATTGCACTTGCTGTCTTTTTCTCTCTTATCGAAATCAATAGAGAGGGGACGTCAATATATATAGAGAAAATATTTCTATTCGTTACAGAGTCCCAGCCCTCAGGGCTGGGACTCTGTAACCGATAGAGATCGTTATCCCTATCGCTATGGCACTTGCTGTTTTCTTCTCTCTTCTCGAAATCACTAGAGAGGAAACTTCAATAGAGATAGAGAAAATATCTCTAATCGTTATAGAGTCCTAGCCCTGGATTCTTGCGTTTTTTGAAATTAAATCGCCAAAGTAGATAGCTATTCACATAAAGAACAATGAAATTGGGCGTGGTCACGAAAAAAAAAATCGCCCGCTGCGGTATTTTTTGTTATAAATACTACATGAAATATCTACTTCATAAAAATGTCCCGTTTTTTTATCAGAATAATATGGTAGGCTTAAAATTATGGGCGCAAGGAAAAATCATTAAAAAACAATTTTTTCAGCCCTTTTTTAGGGAATTTCTAGATTTAAAATCATTATTAATTAAGCTTTGTAGTCAACTTCACTCCGGTTCCAATCAAGTAGGTCTTAGAATTGCCTGTGACAGTGACATTTGACAGTCGGTAATTTTAAGTGTTTTTATCTCGGTTTTTCCTTGAATTTTCCAGTTTTCCGGAGCTTTTCAATCGGAAAAAGTACTCTAAAGTGTTCGGAAAAGTGTCGCGGTTCGAATTCTGTATTTATTTTGCCCAGAAAATTGAATTTTCGAGTTGGAGCCACAGTTTTTGAGAGGTGAATACAAGAAATTCGATTATTATGAAACTAGGCTTTTTGTGTGTTTATAAGCTCTGTTTCAGAACCAGTAATATCTAGTTGCCCACCTATTTTTCAATAAGTTGAACGTTTATCCTTATTGACAAATAAATTAATCTACTGGAAATTACCGTTCTGGAACGGTTCTCATAACTGTTGGAACCTTTGGTTGGAACAGAGCTATAGTGTTTTATATGTTAAAAATAGGCGAGCAAGCAAAAAATATATTTATGTCATACCAATACATATACTGTGTTTTTATACCTTAGATACCATCTACATAATTAATTACTTTATTTACGACTAATGTATAATGTGCGTATTATATTTGTGATTTTGGCAGTATAATGACATATGTTATTCCTCCAGGGATTAATGACGAGTAGCGGGATTAATGGTCATTATTCCACAAAAGTGTCAGTGTCAAACGTGTAGTGCTTGTGGATTTGTATTGAAAATTATGAGACGGATGAAATTTGTTCATTGAAAATCTCAAATAAATTAATTTGTCGTAAATAAAGTAGAGTATACTACTCGCAATAATGGCTATTATTCCCTCGGAATGTTACTCCCTCGCCGCTAACGCGGCTCAGTTCGTAATAATCCTCGGGAATAATAGCTATCATTATTGACTCGTGGTATAATCTACTATTATGCCCGTGCGGGTTTCCCAGGTATTTATTATTCACAACCAACTGGTTGCTGCGCGTCGTGTTTTGTAAGTCGCAACACGCATATCATACGCTATTTTTTATTACGAAAGCATCATAATCTCAAAAATGTTCATTTATATTGATAAGTAGTAATTCAAATGGCAGGTATGCAGGAAAATATCTAGGTAATGAAGGTAGATCGAACGTTTCTATAGCAAACCTTTGAAAAGGTAGACGCATCATAAACATCATTTTATGCACGCTGCAGCGTGCGATAATCGTTGATTATGATGCATGCGTAATAAAAAAGTTTGTATGCATCACGGATACTAATAGATATATATACCCTCGGGCGACTTACGAACCCTCGGGCCAGAGGCCCTCGGCTTTGTAAGACTGTCGCCCTCAGGGCATAATCATCTACTTAGTACCCTTGATACATAAATAACTATTATTTCTATATTTTTCTTAGCCAAGCTTGAGGAAAGAGATGGGCTTATGTTACAGTGACTCTATCACCACAGTGGTGACAATTGTCTCATTTTTGATTGGTTCTTAAAATCCTAAATATTCATATAGAAAACGCACCTCTATTGTCGCCACTGTTGGTAAAGGTTTATTTAGTCACTGTAGCTCATGTTAATTCCCAGCGTTATTTCTTGACAGGTGAGTGAAGCCTAATTATTATAAAAAAATCGTTTATTTTATAACAAAATTATGTTAATTTTAATGAATTGTAAACGTGAAAAGGCTCTAACTGGGTCTCACGAAGTGACGTAACTAGTTGTTTTTTGAAAATTTCCCCATAATGAACCATATAATATTGTTGTGTGTACCATTCTATAGAATGTCTATTAGAGTACTCTCAGTTATGGTAAAATAAATCCAAGTTGAATCATATTCTTACAATAAATGGTTCAATGTCAGCGAAAAGTTAAAATCGTGCCTCCTGTAAAATTGGAAAAACTGAGATACGGCAGTATCTGAGATAGGGAAGTCTACGATAGCAACATGCCAACTATATTATAACACATAAGAAATTATATTGCTTTTATTGAATTACAGAGGACTAATAAAATTTGTATAAAAAATAAATAATTACAAGTATGGATTTCCTAAAGAGCACCATTAGGGATTTTTGTGTTCAGTATGGATGAACAATTATTATTTGTATTTGAAATAAAACTAATGTATTCTATAAAGAAAGTCCATTTTTGATACGTCATATTTGTTCAAATTTTTGTGATTCTTTACTTAACTAGGTATATGGTTTTTAAAATACAGATGATTGATGAATTAAAACTAAATAGCAAGTTGAACTAAATTAAAAAAAACTAAAATACTTTATATAATAATAATTAAAATGCACTAACAACAATTTTAGAGAGATCGAATATAATAATTACACATTATCGTTGACAAAATGAATTATTATATTCTTGGCACATCTTTAAGTACTAACATTAATATTGCACATTTAACGGCTTTAAGTATATTATGTACAACACACACACACAAACTCAGAAAAATAAGTCTCTCGTTTCTAAACCCTATTAAGGAACCAAAAAATTTCATATAAATCCTAAAAACCTCATCGATGATTGTTATTCATCCTGTTAACATCTCCGTTGCTCGTTGTGGCGTTTATTGATAGTCTTGCAGCTGATGGATTACCATCCAAGGTATCTGGAAGTGGTTGGGTTCCAGAAGTTTCCGGCAAAAATAGTACTGAAGCACCTCCAACAATTCCAATGATTGTTATTACTAATAGGGGTAAGGATTTTTGAAAGTCCGACTGTAAACATAGAAATGAGGAAAATTTAGTATGTTTTTTTTTTTGAGTTTATGTCTAGATTAATTTACCCTGATGAATAAATTTCAAAATAATATGTCTTACCAATTCCCATAAATAAGGTACCAACATCAAAGCAATTCCAGCAGGCACATTGGCAGCTCCGACTCCAATATTCCTAATAATAGTCGGATAAAGTTCGGCAGTGTACACAGGCATGATGGCATTACTCGAACTAATACACATTTTACTAGTCATCATAAACGTGGTAATCAACCATTGTAGATCGTTAGAAATCCAAGAAACCGGAATAGCTAGGCCGGCGAAAATTCCAGAAAAAATCATCGTCAAAGCCAAAGGCCATCGTCGTCCGCCTTTGATCAAAATCAAAATGCTTAAAGCTACCGCCGGTACTTCAACCAAACCGATCAACACCGAATTCACGTAAAGGTCGCCCCCCATGTTGCCCAAATTCAACACCAAACCGTAATAAACCAGGTAAACTCCAAACCAAATGAGGAACAATATCAGAGTCTTTTTCCTCATATAGGCGGTTTTAAACAGGTCGGTCACTCCGACGTTGTGGTTTTCGACAGCTTCGATTTTGCCAACTGGTACTAGGGTTTTGTCCAGGTTTGTTGGTAGGTCTTTTTTGTTGAATTTGGCCGCTGCGTCCAAGATTTGGTAGACTTCTCTTGTACGGCCCAAAGCTAGGAGCCATCTAGGAGATTCTGGAAGAATCCACCTTAAAACAAAACAGATTTATTAGTAAAATTAGCTAGAAATTATATTGAAATAAAGTTGGAAATTGGAATTCAGATCATTTCGATACAGAAAAATTCCCAAAAAATCTTTTTTTTTTTTAAAGAATTTTCTTCCCAAGATGGTTAGTTTGAAACAGTTTTTGTTGTCTTAGAAAGTTGTCCAATAGGTTTGCGAAAATTACATTTTTCGATAGACATAACGAGACAAGCCTTGGGTAGTCTATCGAAGACAATCCCTAACAAATTTAGCTGCTCAGAAAAGGAATTGGATGAAATTACAATGTGATTAAGGTATATCATGACATTTAGTTCAAGCTCAGAATCCAAGATAGTGTCAACTATAAATGGGTAAACCAGAAGGTATCCTTTTGAACTAAAATAATCTTCTTTCAGGGAAGGTTTGGTTCAAATTCAGGACCCAAAATAGTGTCAACTATACATTGGCAAGTTGCAGGTGCGTTGGATAAACCAAAAGGCATCCTTTTGAACTCAAATTCAGTTTTAGAAGAACTCTTGACTCCAACTATTCGTTCCAATATTTCGATGATCTGGGATACCTATTGCTCTGCCTCCAAGCACTGAACTCTATAAGATTTAAATGTGTATTCCAAATTTCAGCTCCAAGAAAGTCGATCATAAAATTTTTAAAGTTGCACCTCAGCTGTACTAGGTTCAAAATTGAGCTTTTAAATCAACTCTGGCTCAATACTTATACATTTCTAGTGCTAAGTTTTGCTCTCTTAGATCCAGTAATAAGATAATTAAGTTGTTTCAGTTGAATTTCCATGTATCTATAGTTCATATTTTAGCTGGCACCAATTCTGTTCAATATTTCTTTGATCATGGTTATTCCTCTACCTATAGAAGAGCTGGTCATAGATTTCTAAACTTCTACAGTTGAAATCAGCCCTAACAAGTTCAAAAATGAGCTTACAAATCAGCTCTGAATGAATTTTGACTCAAAAATGGTTAGAGTTCAATGGTTTAGTGAAATTTTTTCTCTTCTAGAGCCAGTAATAGGATTTTTTGAATGATAGTATTCTATTATCAACCAGAATATCTTCAAAATGAAAATCTCACAGAATTTTTCATAAAATAAAAATCAATTACCATGTGGCTAAAAACAGAGCGCTGGGCAAAGAGACGGCCAATTGCAAGTGTCTCCAGTTTTGTAACAAAAACGCCATTCCGGATATGGTGCAGTACCCCAAAGCTACCGGAAACAAGTACGATATTCCGGTGATGGTTCTCCAATGTCCTCCGACCAATTCTATAGCCAAAACGAAACCGCTGAATACAACCGACACCGAAAAGAAACCCAAAAGACATCTGAGGACCACGTACAGCTCGAACCATGGAACAAATGCGATGATTGTACCTGGAAAAATTGGTTTAGTTTTAAATTACATTCAAGAAAATCATTTTTATTCTTACCAAGTGTACATTGAACAAAAATCGACGCAAGCAAAGTCTTTTTACGTCCATACTTGTCCGAAATAATTCCACTGACCAAACCTCCGACGGCCACTCCGGCCAAAAACACCATTTCGGCCAAATTAATTAGAGTTTTTCTATCACAGACTAAATTGAATTCTGAGGTGATTGTTATACCTAAAAAGAAACAAACAATATTGATGACGCACAAGGCAGCCAATTGTAAAAAATAAATGTAACAAAAGAATTATAAGCGATATTTTATTGGCTCATATTCTTACCTTCGCCTTGGAATTCCCAATTTTGGCACTTGACGAGTGAATTATTGTCGGTACTGCAAGTACCATTAAATAATTGGTTCATCCAGCATGCGTCGCTGGATTGCTGACAATTGCCTAGTGGTTCCACACAGCTGAAATCAACAAATTAATTGAATGCTATCTACAATTAGCTAAGGTACTTACAAGTATTCTCTTTCTCTTGCATGAAATGTAGGTGCAAAAATATGCCACGTGCAAGGGATATTGACTAAGGACAGTATGAAGGTAAGTAAAAGTTGCCATCTGCCAAATTCTCCGATTGCATTTGAAATTATGTCTTCTTCTTCTTCTTCGGACGAGGTTCTCGACGGTTCTGGCATATCTGGAACAAGAGATTTTTAGGCAAATATTTTCCCACGAGACGGCAAGTTTTGTTTGTTTTTTCATCCAAAATAATGATGACTGAAATTTCAATAAAAAACGTATGTGGTACTTTGGATTTTATCAAGTCAATGTTTTCTCTGGATTCAGGCCAGTTTATTTATCGAGTGCATTCACACTTGTGGAATTTATACGAACTTTTTGCAATTTATTAGTTATGAAGCAAAGAAAATTATGTTTTGTAAAAATTTAAAGGACTATTATAGGTACTTGGTATAATCTGAATTTTGTAGGTAGTATTATATGTAGGTACCTAATTGAGGAGAAATATTTTATATCCAAAAGCCAAAATTACAAAGCAAATGTGAAATACCCAGCTGTGATGCTTCACAGCTGGGAGGAATGAATATTCCAAACTTTGAAACACAACTTTAATAAGCTGCAATGGGTAATTTGAGATTTAGGATCATGGCCATTTGTTCCAGCAATTTGAGATCCTGTAATGAGTCAAAATTTGGACTATTCCAGGCTCTTGGTATCTCTGTTCAATTTTTCTAAAGGCAACCAAGAGCCTGGAATATTCCAAATTTTGAATCATTACCAGTTTCTGATGCATTGGACAATTTGAGATTTAAGACCATGGCCATTTGTTCCAGCAAATCATTGACTCAAAATTTGAGCCTGGAATATTCCATTTGTAGAGAATTTCATTGGCTTTAATTTGAACTTAATCACGTTAAGATCGGATTGAAATTACCACAACTATGAGACAAGATGTGGGTCGATGTTATTTTGGATAAAAATCAAACTTCAAGAAACTCCAAGAGCCTGAAATAAATAAAAAATTAAACAAAAAAAAAGTGAAAAGATTGAATACAATTTCCATTGATTGAAAAAATGTCCCGGAAAGAAATTTTGATTTCTAATAATTCTCAAGAGGCTTAGAAAGCTTATATATTTTAACCCTTAACTGAAGAAATTATTGAACTAGTAAAGTAAATTTTGATTTTTGACCAGTGAAGTTTAGATATAGGGTGGCTTGAAAAGCGTCTGAAGAAGCATGAAAATCCTATTCTACTATACAACATATCAGTTATCTTCCAGATTTGTTGATATTTACAGTCTAATCTGAAAAACCTACAGAAAAATTCTCTGGTTATCGTGGAAGTTGTAGGGCATTCAATTTTTAATGGAAAAGCTCTTACCAATTTCCTGTAAAGTTTGTGCCAATTTAATGCGACCTAAATTATTCATATAATGCGTAGAAACAAAATATATATAAAAAGGAAACAGCATTAATTGTTAGAATTAAGCCTGATTGGTGCAACATCGCATAAAAAAAGAAAAACAGGAAACGTTGCACGGAAAATTAATGCACTAAAACTAATTCTCTATATTATTATAGTGATTCACTACTGCTAGTATTTGATTAATTTGCAATTTCCTGGGTCGTATAAGGGAGAGCGCCGTAATTGGATTTGAGGCCCCTCTTTAAATCTCTTCTATTAAATTGTTTAAGGTTAAAGACCGATTAAATTATTATATCATTTGTGTAGTTTGGCTCTCTCTGATGGTTACGTGGTAATTTAGATTTATTGTTTCAATGACAGAGAGGCTCTATATGTGAGTTAGAGCAATTTTTTTGATTTCTTACAGAGTATATATTATTAATATTTCAAAGGCAAAATTTCAAAAGTATGTACTTGAAAATTAAGTACTCACTCAAGTACCTACTAAGTTGGGATGAGAAAAATATTGCAACCGTTAAAGTAAAATAACTATTGATCTTTCCTATATTGAGAAAGCAACTTTAATGTTGATTCAGAAGATTCTTGTGATGTTTGCAGCTCAGCTTCAATAACAAACATTGATATTTAAACTGCAAAATCCAAGTTTCTGTTTTGGAAATATGTCATGTTAAGACAATGGTCAAAATACGAATCTGGGTTACTTTTGTGACTGATTTCCAGGAGATTTTCTGGAATAATTTCTTCTGGAGTAATCCTTTTTTCTTCAGGCAATAGTCTAGTTGTGAGGAGTCTCAGAAATGTTTTCTTGAATATTCCTCTTTATTTTTCACTTCTTTCATTTAATTTTTTTCTATTCTAGGCTCTTGGATTTTTGATTTCTTTTCAACGAAAATATTTAGTATGCGATAGAAATATAAAGTAGCCCACCAAAAATCGAAAAAATGAAGCAATGTCGAAATATCAAAATTTTTCAGGTCCAAAAATCCAAAAATCATTTTTAATTTTTTACAGGCCTTAAAACCTGGAATATAAAAATCAAGAAAATATTTTTCTACTAAATTTGACCCCTTCTTTCGATTGGTTAAGTCAAAATTTTGAAAATTTAGAAAAATCAAAATTGAAATTTTTCTAAGGGCTATGCAAGGAAATTTAATCTTCAAATATTTTAAAGGGCCATATCTTAGAAACCAGAAAAGCTAATAACATGAAATTTTGTCTTATCGTAGATCTCGACTGGGGCTTCAAAAAAGGTTATTTGGGGCACCGAGCCCTATAGGGCTTCGTTTTCAAGATAATCGGCTTTGAATGTTTCCAAAATTCGAGACAAAGTTTTAACTTTGAAGGTCAATATCTCAAAAACTATTTGAGATAAATGATTCAATTTTATTTTATCTTAAAGAGCGTTTAATTCTGATTAAGAATATATAAATATACAGGGTGTTTTTTTAAATATTGACACCCCACCTACAGCCTTTACCTTTACAGGTAGAAGAAAAGTGTGAATACCTACAATCAGAAACAAAATTTGAATGTCAGAAATGTGAAATTTTGCATGCTTCCAGCTTTTTTTAAATGAGATGCCCTATATTTCATTCTATATTCTTGAAGAGCATAATGCCCCGATTCCAAAAATATATAGTTTGTCTATATTTGATTGAACAATCTCTTATATATTCTGCTTCCAAAATTGTAAAAATACTATCCTACTACTGATTTTGTGAACCATTCTACCTGTACAGGTGAAAGCTGCAGGTAAAATTTGAGGTACTTGGTTTCTCTGATAGTATTTTTAAAATTTTTAGAACCAAATATGTTGGAGACGGCTCAACCAAATACAGACAAACTATATAGTTTTGGAATCGGGAAATTGTGCTTTTCAAGAATATAGAACCAAATATAGGGTATCCTATTTGAAAAAAGCTGAAAGCATGCAAAATTTCACATTTCTGACATTCAATTTCTGTTTCTGACTATGGATTTTGAAAATTTAGTCAATACTGTACAACTTTTGTATTTACAGCTTTCATCTACTTGTGAAAGTGAAGGCTGTAGGTGGTGTTTCAATATATAAAAAAACACCCTGTACTTGAGCAATAACTTATTATACAGTTTCCCATATGCTGCGAACTTAAGTGGACACACTGTATAAAGTCAGAATTTGTAAGATTATCCACTTTTTGTCAATTTGCCTTTTAACAGGAATTAGTAGGTAATGTTACTTTACCAAACTAGTAATATAATGTGACAAGTTATTTAAGTATAAACGAGTGGATTGTTGCGGAACTTATGGGTGGACCTCTGCGAGACGACCGCAGCGAGTTCCGCAGCCATCTATTCATCAATATTACGATACTATGCTGACTTACTCAAATGTGAGTTATTCTCATCAGCAGTGGCGGCTCGTATATTAAAAATGTGGGGGTTGCAATTTCGATGGTACGGTACAATCATGCATGTTTTTCGTAAAGGTCCAGATTGAATGTCCTGATGATAGTTCTTTTTTTGCTAGTTACAGTTTGTTCAATTTTTAAATTTGGAGTAGGCCTTTCAAGTCTTTTTATTTCAGCCTTATCGGTTGATGAACGACCACGCAGAATAGCTCGGCAATTAAATTTTGAACAGAATTCTTTTTTTTTTCACCCCCCACACGACAAAACTTCACAAAACAAACCTAATCTGCACTGCGAGCAAAAAAAATAAACAAAGTTTGCACTCCGCTTGCAACCTGCTGGAGCCTATGGGGCGGATTTCGAATCCACGCATAGACAGGCAACCAAATGTGCGCCGTCATATAATACATCGGTTTGCTTTGGAGCTGCAATCCAGCGACTCGACGCCGCTACTCGAAGTCCCCGGCGGCCTGTCAGTTGTTGACGCGAAGTTGGTCAAATTATTTTAATAATTGACTGCGTATTATGTAGGTCCCAAATTATGGTTTAATTTATTTTTTAAATATAATTAGGTACTAAAATTTAGTTGTACTATTTTTGTTTTATATTTTTTAAGTTTTGTTTTAGGGGTTGCGCAAACCTGCAAACCTAAGGAAGAGCCGCCACTGCTCATCAGTTTAAAAACTACACGTTTCAGGTGAATGTCTTATTTGAATAGTCCAACAGTATATTGGTGAGTAGATGGCTGCGGAACTCACTGCCCTCGTCCCACAGAGGTCCACCCATAAGTTCCGCAATAATCCACTTATTTGTACTTGAACAATAACTAATTATATAAGGTCAAAATTTATAAGATTATGTTTATTCACTTTTTGTCAATTTGCCTTTCAACAGAAATTAGTAATGTTACCTTACTAAACTAGTAACATAATGTGACAAGTTATTCAAGTTCAAATGAGTGAATTGTTGCGGAACTTATTGGTGGACCTCTGCGGGACGAGCGCAGCGAGTTCCGCAGCCATTTATTCATCAATATGTTGTTTAATTACGATACTAATACTCCAAGACAGTTAAAAATTCTTATATGGTGAATTGGGAACAAAATAACATAAAGCTGCGACTAGTCTCAATCGATAGGATTTATGGTCTTCATAATCATACTAAGAGACCCCAGACCTCTTTTTAGGGAAACATTGTCAGAAAGGCGCCGCCATCTTGGATTTTTGAAATTTTTTACTTAATTTACGTTTTACTAAAAAACTACTAATTTTTCGAGAAAATATCAAGAGAGATAAATTGAAGAGCACAAAAAATCCATTAGAAAAAGTTATATTTGGACTTCCTGGGTACTACCCTCACTG